ATATCTTCAATTATCTAATTTTGATGAATATTTTTGTAATTTTTGGTAAAAAGTGATATTTCCGATTGCTTTGGTACTATATTGTTTATTTTCTAATGATATCTTCAGTTCTTTAATTGTGCATTGCTAACAGCGGAGCTATCTCAGATGACAGGCTGCTTGTATTTTCTAGGTTTGGCATCAATAATTTTGAAAGAAAATTAACCGATTCATATTTTAAAAAAACTATAGTCAATGCTTTGAAATTTAGTACTAATTTAGAGTAGGTGCTGTTTCTCTGCAATGGGTTGTCAATTAAAATTCAAATAAGATGATATTGAATAAAGATGCTTAGCCCATGCAAATCATCTCCAAATTAAGTGTTGTATAATGTATACACATATAAAATGGGCAAAATGTTACGTCGGTTAAAATATATACCAGTACATGTCACCATTTGGGATGTGGTACAAATCTCTAGAATAAAGATCAACTTGAGTCAAGAAAAGAGTCATTAACTTTACAGTTAAACACTTATCAGAACTTGTGACTCCCATTAAAATGGAGGCAATAATATAATTAGTATTACATGTACTTACATTTACCGCAATGTCATAGGTGTTGTCCATTCACAAAACAAGTCAAATTAAAATGATCCAGTATAGTATACAACAGTTGATTGACATGTGTGCTTCTATTACAGATGTTCTTCAATTGTTCTTCAATTTTCACATCTTACTACCGGGTACTCGAATTTTCACACAGTTCAAATTACAATGCATAGAAATTCTGTATGTCTTTGATAAAAGCAGCAAACTATATATAAACTCAATATACTTCATGACCACTGACAAATCGTAATAGATACAAAAACATTGGTAATTTTGTATAGAGTTTTGTAATTTTTAAACAAATTTAGTGACCTGGAATTTCTGAAAGGTGGAACATGTATAAAATTTTCATTAAAATTCTTTTAAAATGTAATTTTTTTCATTAATTATTATTCAATATTTCTTTAAAATGTAATTTTTCTGTTAATTATTCTGATTTTTTTTTTGGAAAAGGCAAATTTACATGATGTAAGCAAAAATGAAAATTATATTTATTGTTTCAACATTAAATCTTAACAAACGTGATGTGACAGTTTATCAAAACTTTCTCAAATATGTTGGGTGTGTATTAGGGACATGTGTACATATAAATTCTCGAATCGCATAACAGTGAGTTTGAAAAACGAAATAACTATTTTAAACTATTAAACATACGTTTGCAATTCATCATGACTTTAAAAACTTGTTAAAGAGTTTCAAACATGCTCGTGAAAACTGAAGAAATATGTTGTTTTTTATATCAAGTAACGATAATACAATAATATATCAATTCACTAAAACAATAGTTTTTATCCACAGATGACCGCAGATCCAAACAGTATGTCGCCCTCAACAGGGCTCCTTATACCCGTTTACCTCTCAGAAACGCATAGTCGATAGAGGGCGCAATTTATAGGAATGGTGTATTCCACAGGGCATTTTCAACAAAATAAATAAAAATAAGGTGGTAATTATTACTAGCCACATTTATATGCAAATCTTGAAAAGATTACATTCAAGTAACACCAATATCAAATTTATTCAAGTTTGAATGTTATTTTTATTGATAAGGTATCCAAGATAGAAGTCGGTTGGTTACCAATTTCAATTGTGGTAAGCGTAAAAAAGATTCCAAACTGAAGCTCTCGTGTCGCAAAAGGCATAGGCTTCTACGGGACAACTGAGGCATTCCTCTCAGTACGTGTGTATGGTAGGGTTGTCCCACATTTTGGAGATCGTTGGCAGGAAATGATAGGGGTTGGCTTCTTGAGATAGCACTAAATGGACAAATCATCAACATATAAAACCATTATAAATTTGAACCGAGAAATGGTCGATTGTAAAGCCGACAACATATTTTCACATATTTATATATATTTTCTAAAGCTGACAAAATGATTTTGAGTATAGGTTAGTTTCTTTGAAAATCTCTTAAATAAAATAGTTTTTTTTTTTTTTTTTTTTTTTTTTTTTTGAATGAGCACACGGCATCCTGTGCATACTCCGAAGTGGAGGAAGAAACGTATGCGAAGATTGAAGCGCAAAAGGAGGAAGATGAGGACAAGGTCGAAGTAGACTGTCGTGACGTCATTACCTACTTTCGCAGTAAGCATTCAATACGTGGAGATTTTTTTATTACAAATTTGCAAACAATATAAACATACAGGCTAAGCCACAATAACATAGATTAAAAAAATGACAGAATGTTCGTTTATGACTTACGTGTGAGCGATGACGTAACAGAACGGAACAATTAGGAAAGTGGTGGAATAATATAATTTGTTAATCATTAATAGTTTATTCATCGCATAGGATAACCAGTGCTCACGGTATAAGTGTTTTCACAATCGTATCCTAATTATGGCTCACGTGATCAAAACAAATCTGTGTCAACGCCGCGGCGGGCTAGTTTTGCTCGGAGTCAAAGATGGATGAAACGGGGGATGCAGACACTTGGATAAACAGACGCTAAGTACGAGAATCGTGATGATATAGTACACTGCTTGCCAACAAGCCCGAACGTGGCTGAATATCGTAAATGTTTCATGGTCGGTTCTCACTCTTGTATTTGTCTTACGAAAAAAATCTCAGCAGACAAAATCGAACGTGTATCAGACTTATCTGATATGTTGTAATGTGATTAATTTCCCCGTACGAGTGATTTTTCATTTGTTCCGAAGCACAAACAACAACAAAAACCACTCGATTTAAAGCGGAGGGTCGTCACCTGCGCACGCGCGGAAATTGAGTCCCAATCGACGATAACGCATGCTAAAAGCGCAAAGATTCATGGGTAGACATTTGTTTGTAAACAATGACACGCTATGGCCACCAGACACATGCGCAAGTGACGACTCCCCCGTTTTAATTTTCCATATTATACAGAAGAATATCACACACGTGTGATCTGTTAAATTATAATATAACGTATTTGAACTCAAAAAGATGTATAAATAACATAAGAGGTAATTATTTTGCGACAATCCTATCATGTGCAAATTAAAAAAATAAATTATCACAGAACCATTCCACGCATGTATTTTCAGATATATAGTCGAATGTGAATATTATACATATTGACTTTATACGTATCTACTAGTAAATAAAATACATGTATACATAGTAAATTTTACCCCGCCATTTTGCAATTTCCTCGTCAAATTTTCAGAAGGAGAAGCCATTTGTCCTAACCGTTTACCTCAATTATTCATTTTCCCCATGTGCCTATTATATGCTGCACCTATTGAACCAATATCTGGCACTTATATTATCAATCTGCGCTAGAATATCTTACATAGCATTCGGTAAAACAATTGTGAAAAAACAAAATAAGTTAAAGGGTTGTTGTCGTCGCGCTGCGCGACATTTGTGTTGATAAACATTGATTTCCCCACAATCCAATGCGCTCAGCAAAATTGATCGTACATCGCATGACAATGTTCATTAGTTTATTATGTACAACCATGAAGCTAATGTTTCACGGTACACTGAAATAGCATTATTTTGTGTGTTACGTACAGTTATGCTTTTTGGGAAACGTGTTCTAATATTTCTTGAAAATTGCTATTTTTAGAAAAATTCCATAGAACACTATGTTAAAGAATAATTGAATAATTGCATTTTTTGACACTTTTTTTAAACCCAGATTTTTTAAATAATTCAAAACAACAAAACATACTCCATCATTAACAATATATGATTTTTCAGTCTATGTCACCAGGCTAGATTTTAAGATATTGCATAATATCTCTGCCATAGGAACCTGTGGTAAAAGTGTTATAATAGTGTCAAAATGGCGACTTTCCACTAAAATACAACCATCAATTTCTCGAAAAAAAGGCTGGTGACTCCCAACTTTTTTTGGTCAATATCCTTATATTGCCTTGGAGTACAATTTATCGCAAAATGAATAAATTCTGTTTTTTTTTAATTTATGAGTAGGCTCCTACCTTAAGACGTCGGACCACAGGGAGTTGGACAAACTTAAGTATTTTAATACATTATTAAATAATAAAATGTTATATAATGATTTCAAGTAATCACTGATCTTTGTTTATGCCACTCTTTCCTTTATCACAATCTTTATTACGCACTAATGTTATATGCAAATGTTAACGCGCGATGTAGACACGCCCTGTTATAGTAAAATCAGTGATTACTTGAAATTGATATCAGGAAGGGGAGAGGTAAAAGAAAAGTTACCCTGCTTCACGCGTAGTGGTCACGTTACCTTACATAAATCTACATTTAAGAAGTAGTCTTTATTGGAAAATAGGTACCACATATACAGTGAGTACTGTTGATTTGATTACAACTACAGACGAAAAATACAGATTCTTGTTTTTTATCTTCATTGTATATATATATATATATATATATATCAATCGACAATGACACGTGTTTATGTGGACTGCATATTATTTCCTTTGTGTTTGACCATGCACGATTTCGACCTAGTTTTTTTTTAACGTTGCATGGTGTTTTTGTTCCCGGAAGAGGGCGCTACCGACTTCTTGGTCACAGCTATTCCGCTTTCGATTATTAGAATCGGATCCAAGTGGACTGCTACGACTGTTGGTACAAGAAGAAAATATATTGACCGCATTAAGAGAAGGTAACAAGCAAGACACCGCCAATAAATTTGAACAGTCATTTGACCGGTAGCATAGTAGTTGTAGCATCGGTCACGTGATCAGTAGGCTAGTCAAATCCTACTTTGGGTTGAACACCAGACAGGGTTGATCCCTTCCCTTGGCGCGTGTGCCACATACTCAATGGGAAATGGGAAGGCTAAATCCACTGGCCGAGGTTCTGTCTCATAAAATATTTTAGTCAAATCACGAATGCAACGAAAGAGAATGCGTCAATCTTCTTCCCTTTCCTCAAGTGTGATAACTGACAACCGATCGAGATGCAACACTACCTGCTTGATTAAATGTAAGTCACTTGCCTTTGACCGTTAGCTTTCTTCGTTCCAATAAGATAAAATGTTTTCATATAACCTTTGCCCTGAAATAAAAACAACAACGACGCGATTTTTGCAGTTTAAATTTAATACGGCGCTGATTATAATGAGCTGCTACTACTTATCACGACCACTGGTCAAACGACCAATCACAATGCATTTTTGAGAAAACTCGAAAATTTAAAAATTGTCAAGGATCTCATTTAGGTAGATTGATATTCTTTTAGACATGTTGTACTAGAGACCCTACTTCATTCAATATAATGCTGCATAACGTGTCTCAGCTGGCCTGGACCGGACGATTAGAAAGACGGGGTCCATACGGTGGGTAGGATAATTATATGGTAATTTCCCATGTACATTAAGCAGTATGATATGCATATATTTTACACTGAATCTGATATTAGAGTTGGACATTCAATACTAAGCATCTACACAACAATCGCCAAAACTATTTCAGTGGCGGTGGCACAGGTGGGGGCTGTAGAGGAGGCCTTGAAAAATATGTTGGGGGCGTTGCCCCTCCACAATCAAGCTGAAACCGTTTTGTGTCAGCAAAACTTGCCCCTCAAAATGCAGGAAATAGCATTTCAGAGGATCTATATTTCAAAATGTCTAAGGGTGAGAGTGCCCCGATTCCCTACTAGTAGTAAAGTCACGCGAGCTTGGTGAGCAGATCTCGCGCCAACATGCAAAATTGCGTGCCGTCGCATTAGAATCTACACATTTTACATCTAATCATTAAACACATATACATTAAATACCCACACATATATTGAACACATACCTTTATTTCAATTTCTCCACGACATTGAAACTGATAAATGTCACGAGCATTTAACAAATGATATGTCCACTTGCTGCAGTGAATCTTCATAGCTGTAAACATATGCATAGAGTAACAATAAATACGTTACGTCATCACCCCCAAAGTAACCATACCGTCGGGGTAAGTGTAGCAAAGGTAGGTCAGATTATTTGGTGATTAAAATTGTAATAAAGTTTCTCGTTTTTACAGATTTATTAATAAAATAAGACTCCTTGGCGCGAATTAATTATTATTAACTACACAAAGAGTATAAGTGATTACGTAATATGGGAGTGGTTCATAACATCAGTAGATAAAATTAATCACAAAGGTCGTTCATGGTGACCGTGGGTGAGTGGAATGAAAATATGCTTAAACAGAACGTGACACAAGTAGGCCGGTTTAAATGACGCATCGTTAAATTGGAATGGGGTAGAAAGAAAGTCAAGGGTACTACAACACTGACACATTACGTAGTGAAAACAATAAACGCGATATGTGCTTGTCATAAAAGAACCCGTCAATTTATATGCACAATAGAGCATTGCAAAAACAACTCTCCGCCACGCAGCCAAATCCATTACCGATGTCTCAAGACGGACAATTGATAATAAACGATATCTTAATATTCATAACTTACGTTCGCATGAGCTTTCCATTCTCGCTGCCACGTTGATCGTATCGCCGAACAAGCAGTATCTGGGCATAGCGACGCCAACCACACCGGCGGCACAAGAACCGCTGTTTATGCCTATGCGAACCGTCACTTTTTTGCCTGGCATATGTCCTATCTGGAACATCGAAGTCGCTGTCAACATATCTAATGAGAGGTTGGCAATGTGAAACGCATGATTGTCCCCGTTATGTTTAGGTAGGCCAGATACGACCATGTATGCGTCGTTAATAGTTTCAACCTAATGAGAAATAGTACCATAGAGAAGGATTGTTACGGTAGAACGCTATGAAAAGTGAAAAATGTATCGTCATTTTCGTCGGTTTTACATAATGTGACAACAATTTTAGATGTATGAAGCCGAAAAAATGATGCGCAAAAGGGATGAATGCGTATGTTTTTTCGGGTATAACGAGTTTCACCATCGATTCCTAAGTATATATCCAACATTTTGCTCTGTAACGTTGAGTACAAATAATACATTTTGTGTTTTTTAATAAAAATGGTTATGTCAGGAAGTATTATCGATTTGAAATTATTTGGATTCAAAGTTTATATCTGAAATGCTGATGTTTTTGCTCTTTCTTTAATCAGACTGACAGTCAGCTAAAAAGTCCACACACCGCGTACTAATACTAAAATAATTAATTAAAGCCTGATTTTAACACGGGTTATAATATGCCCACAAGTCAAAAAACGTACGATAACAACCTAACTAGATTGCCATATGCATCTGCATTCGAATCATTCGGTACCGATCGGCTAGGGACGAAACATTATATTTAATTGATTCGTCAGATAAGGCCCGTAATTTGTTTTTAGTCACTTTGGATTATCATTTTAACTGTTTGCCAAATGTGTGTATATTTTTGTTGCTGAATTGTAATTTTTTTAAATTTTGATTCGGTCAAATACGCTATAAGTATTCTATTTGATATTCACCAACCTTATAAACGTCATATCGTTCGATGATCTCATCAAAACATGTGTATACGTCATTCAAAAGGTCGACAATCTGATAAAAATAACACAAAAACATTTACACTAATATGTGTATGAATATATGTCGTAAGAAAAATCGAAGGTAGTACATCTGGGATATGATATAAATAAATATAATAAGTATATTTGAGGCTTATGCGCGTAAACACAAAGTTTAATAATCGGAAGCGAAAACATCATACACATCGGGTCCATGATTTTTTTATTTTGGGAATAGCCCCGGGGAAATCTTTTTCCAATTGACGTGATTACGCGGATATGTTCATTTCTCGCAAAGCAGACGAAAACATTCGCCAATCACTCTATTTGAAAAAGTGACCTGCAATATACTAGTATTCAGCCAGGGTCTTTTAGATTCAAAGTTATGAACACGTCGTGTAATTATTACTACGCACTTGACATTGTATTGCCAGAGGGTGAATACTTTATTGGGCATGTTGAGTTGCCTTCTTTCGTTCAAGGTGGTGTATTTCAGTTTAAGGAAATATCTGGCTGATTGTGAATCATATTCCCACGGAAGAGTGAAACGTTCATGAACAATTAGTCATAATTATGGCAACACAGTTGATGTGTATCGTCGACCGTTCATAGCGTCGATATATATTGTTCGAACCGTTTTGAAATACTGTTATTGCTTTTCTTCAATTGCTTGAATAAATCGATTATCAGTATGTCAAGACAAGCTCTAATATTGGAAATGAAAAATACATTATAATATCGGACTGTCTTAGCTGGAAACACACTTTAAAATGCCAGCGGACATTGATATATTAATATTCACTGTAATTACATTATGGCTACGACCAGTAATGGTCTAACTAACTAGTCTATATCACCGATAATCTCACCTGCATAGGCTTACTCTGTGCTGCAATATTATTGAACCCACAAATATTTGAAAAGAATACTGTGACCTTTGCGTAACTTTCTGGATCGACCGTCACACCGGCCTTCAGTTTCTCTGCGACTAATCTGTATAGTCAGAAAATTGGTTTAGTAAGTCAAACATTGAACTTGAAATGATATATCAAATATGGCTGTGAAATATACAGAATATTTCGGTGTCGAACCTTTACGTCAAAAGATAAAGCTATTTTCCAAAATATCACTTGAAATTCAGAGTATAATCACATGCCAAGTGTTGGGTTACTCACGTTGGTAGCATGCGACATAACAGCATGTCCGTCTTTTTCTTTTCCAATGTCAATTGTGCAGTTCTTTCCTCCACAAGCTCTTCCAAGTTGTCGGCATATCGTTCCATCTTTTGGAGGGCGTTCTCAAGAACGTTTGGTTTTCTGTGGAATATTTTCGGAATGAAGTTAAAGCGGGAGGGTCGTCACCTGCGCACGCGCGGGAATTGAGCCCCAAGTAACGATAGCAATACACGCTAAAAACGCAAAAAGCTCATGGGTAGATGCTTGTTTGTAAACATTGAAACGCCAGGGCCATCTAACGCATGCGCAGGTGACGAATCCCCCGCTTTAATGCACACATTACCGCCTCTTAAAAAACAAGGCAGTATAAAGTATATTAATATTCAAAACAAGGGGTTTCATCTTGCAGTAGCACATTTTCTGAGATCGAAAGATGTTTACATACACCAAGAGAACTATATTTTTTAAGAAAAATAACATGTTGATAACTTACTTTCCATTATTGATTACAATTAGCTTTTGTTTTATTTGTTTAAAGTCTAGTCTGGACTCCGGATCCTCGCTAAAACAGCTTTCGAGTATTGTCATCAGGTTTGGCTCACACATAGTGGGTAGAACGACTGGCCTGAAAGGGGGGGTTTCTCCGCTGCGAACACGATTGACTATATCTGTAAATTGAATGAATAAATTGTACATGCAAATGAACATTACAAAATGAAACAGAGTATTCGAACCCACAATCATGGCAAAAAAAATAAAGTAGAACATCGTGTATTTTAGAAATAAATATAAATCACAGAATGAATTGCAAACATAGTATAAGAGAAACACGTGTTGGCGACGTGCATATAAAATACCATGCATGCATGAACATGAGGGAAATGGTTAATTAGGTTTACCAAGCAAGTTGTAAACTACTGAAATAATTTCAGAACTACGCTGTTAAAAATTGTGATTACGTCAAATTGGTGATATATGGGGTAATTTAGTTAGATCACATACATACAACTATTTGATGAACCAAACGTCAACATTTCATGTACCTTTTGTCGGCATGCCCTCGTGCTCCGTCGGGAAGGGGCCTTTACGTTGAATGATTTCTTGCAAAATAACACCAAAGCTATAGACATCCCCTTTTTTGGTGCCATTTATCGAGGGGTTCGACTCGCGTAGCAGCTCAGGAGCAGTCCAAAGTTGTTCTGCAATGACAAAACCGAGTATACTGTTATAACCTAATTATTATCATATATTACATATATAAAATTGTATATTACATGGTATATTGCCCGCAAAGGGGATAATACATGGTATATAACATGGATGAGGTGACTAAAGATACCGCGCAACGATACTGTGTATAAGACTTTGTCTTTCGTTACACTGCTGCTGTCCCGGCTGTGGTTGCTTTCAAGGTTTTTAGGGAACTTTAGGCATCCGAAATAAACAGCGAACGTGCCAGAATGGATATTTAGTTAGAAACTCTGTTTCGATGTTTAGAGTATTCTTTATATTAAGCAAATATATACGGCGAATCCGCCGCTGAAACATCGCATCCGGGATCGCTGCGGCGCGTTCTACGCTGAGAGGGTTCTACGAGTGCCATGCCGAGAACGCTCTAAGCCGGGTGACCGGTAAATGTAGATATAAGGTGTGGTGCGTTCGGGAAATGTCATAGCAGTCACTTCCACGGCGTTCTGACATTTTAATATGATGAGTTATAAAAGGACTCGCGTTTGAGAAGCAATACTTTTATACTCGAAAAATTGAGTGATTTGCAGTGTATATCTAGCAGTTTCTATCCTCATAAATCAATGTATGTATGTATGCTATTGAATAATGTGTCAGTTGCCGACCTTCTATTATGGTCATGACCATCCTCCCTTTGGGCAGGCAACACATCGTGATATTGCCCTCAAAAACATGTGTTATTATTTAAATGTCACATGTTCGTGTTTTAAAAGTACATTAAACACGTAAATACACACTTGTCCATTTTTCTTGACCTATCTCTGCCACTGAAAGTCTTTGTTCAATCAAGCATCTCTTTGCTGCTTCTCTCTGGCGTATGGCACCACACCCAAATCCTGTCACTTTTAACGCCCATTTTTTGTCAACAACGCAAGTTGAAGTTTTCAAATTACCATGACAGCCGAGACTGCTCTTGTGAATATATTCCAT